GGGGGGGGGGGGGTGGACAAGGTGGGAAAGTGTACCCTGCCATCCCTATTATTCAGAGTTAATAAAAATCCTTAGCATTTCTGCTGAATGATTTCCCTCTCCTGTTGTGTCTCCTGCATCAGTGGGGCTCTTTCCACTAGTTCTTGTATTGCAGACAGATTTGCAAGAAGTATTAAGTTTGAACAGAGAGAGATTTTTTTTCGTTCATTAGACCTATAAAATTTCTGTGAGGACCCAGGGTGAGTTAGGTGCCCTCAATGTCCATCAGCTCTCACTGGCAAAGTGAACTCTGCATGTGAACTGAGCCTCTGTCACGAGCTGCACTGCCGAATGAATGCACATCCGGGACACTCAGCCGGGTCTTCATGGGGATATTCAATGAGCAGTACAGCTGCAGCAGTCCAGGACATAGCTGTGGAGAGCTTTAGTGACTATTGGCTGGATCAATACCTCTGTCAGTGCTTATGTCAAGTAATGAACTCCAGCATTGCCTGTATCAGCATGCCCAATGGCCTGGTAATTTGTATGTGACTACTCATAATATGCAGGGCATAATATATTTGTACAACTGCTTTTTGTAAATACATTGTGAGGACAAGCCTTAGAGATACAAACCAAAAATATGCCAATGTACACAATAATAAATACATATGTATGTAAACCTGAGCTTCCTCTTCTTCCGTTGCATAAGACCAGCAGGCGTGAGAATAAAACAACACAATTTCACTTTTTATAACTGGAGAGACTAGAAACAAGGATGTGTAAAGAAGAGATCTCTGTCACAGACAGAGTGCATATTGACAAAAAATAAATTCTGAAGAAGCTGCACTGTAGGAGCCTGCATTGATCCTTTTGAGACCCATTTACAAGAGTTCCTCTTGACTTCAGCAGGAATTAATGCTCAAGCAAAGGGAACACCCCAGAGCACATTATGCTTCTAGAAAACATGATAAAACTTGTTGGCTGCTTTGGAAGAAAAGGGCATTTTCACAAATGGGAATTGTTCTTGACAAGTCAGGATTCCCCTGCCAGCTGTCCTTTTCCTGTTCCTCCTTTGTCCTAAACTGCTTATGTTGCTTCTGTGATGATAGTTTTGTCTTTCTCCTAGGTATTTATCTTATAGCAATAGTGCCATCTTCTTTTACATTTCTGCTAGCAGTACCACAAACCAGCATCCTGTTTGCCTTCTTTATTGCAGCTGCATACGGGGCGGAAGGCTTTAGGGACTTTCATGCAATAATTCCCAAATCTTTTTCCAGTAAGTATACTGAAACTCAGTTCACTACAGAGCATTTCCATCTAGTTCCTACTTCTATGATTTTTGTTTGTGTCATTTAATTTCTGAATAATGTATGTTTGTCTGTGTGCACTTAAGTAGTCTGAGCTTTTTGTTTTGTTCATATGTACTTTGTTTTAACTTAACAGAAAATTTGCTTCAAAAGCCGCCTTCTCCAAATCCCTGGCAGGCAAGGAGCCTATAATCTTTTGGTATAAATATATATTTATTATTCTTATAACTGAAAGGAAAAAAATTAGATGTAAATTGTGGAAAATCTTGTCATATACTCAAGCCAAATACTTCTATTGCTTCCATTTGCCATGGTGAAAACAGCAATATGAAGTTGTAGCCCATTAAATTTACAGAATCACTTCTGTTTAACCAGTCATACTGTCTTTTTAAGTCATTGTTTGGCCATTGATTTTGTTTTTGTCTATCACTAAATTATTCCCCTTTTTAGAACATACAATTTAAAGGAAAACTGCTTTTATGTTATGCACTTACTCTGTTTTACATATGATTTCTATTGAAAGTGCAATATTTGAAAAATCATTAAAATACCTAGATTGGTAGACTTTTTAAGCGGTGTCCCATCAGGCAGTATTCATAAATGTGAACACCTTTAGGCTTCTGTTTCCCAGTAGGATTTTGAGTCAGATACTCTCATCAGTTACATCCATGCAGTCCTCCTGGGACACCTGTGAGGTTGCAGGATGTATCAGAGAAGAGCTTGTCAATCCTCTCCATTTCAAAGGGGTATTTTGAAGGTCTTTCAATCTCTTGAGGTAATTATTGTCCATAGCTCATTGTTCTCACTTTGCTACAGCATCACTTTTGAATGAGATTGCCATGAAAATGCTCCACAGAAGGAAAAGACCTGGACTTTATTGAATGAAACAGCTCCCTCATATTCTTAGCTACCCACTGAAGTAAATTCTTTCTTCTTTTTGGGTGGGGTGGAATGAAGGTAGAGGGATTTTTACTGTATAGAAAGAGAGATTTTGGCCAACAAAATGATGTTTTTCAGCCTAATGAAGAAGTATTTTTTCACCAAAATCACTGGATTAGAAAAGAGAGAAATAACAGCCAGGATTATTTTTTTCTACATAAAACATCATACAATTCTGTGGAGAGAAGAGGAATGAATACTGGCATGAACTTGCCTGAATCTTGATCCTTTTTCCTTAATGTTAAAGTTTCCTCTGTTCATAGCAGATCAAATTTACTAGCATTTATGTCATCACATGTTGTAAGGCTATGGCAAATTTACACCTAAATTATTCTTACTGCAAGCACTTGTCACCTATGGGATTAAAATGAAAAGGATTTATCCAAAAAAGTAATAACAGTTTTCCCAGACACCTTTTTTGTTTGAATGGTTTTTAATCATAGCTTCTGACTCTAGTTATTGTCTTCTATTACTCAGCAATCCTAATCCTGTTGTTCCAGAAACACAACTGTCACTCTTTAAATATCCTTAAATTCTTCCTTCCATCCTTCCCTACCCTGCTTTCTTTATCAGTGTTTGTACTCTGCTTTCCCATTGTTGTTGCTTACCCCATAGAACTGCAAACCAAAAATTTGGATTCAGTATAGCCCTCAGAGTCTTCCTGCCAAGTGGAGAATGTTGCATTTTCTGTTCATTTTTATCCATTGAGTTGAGTTACTTACTTTTACAATTGTTTTGGGCAAATCCCTATGAAGTGGATTCATTTTAACTTTCATTCCAATTAACCTGATTGTCAGAAAGCCAGAAATGCAAAAAATCGCAGAGACCTAGAATCAGATTTGTAATATTGTTTGGGTTCCCAGGTCTCTGGGTGCCTTGTATTTGTTTTACTGATATTCACTGTTCATTGCTCCACATGTTACAAACTCCCCATATTGCCCATAGAATTATAGTTGAGGTCATAGCATTTGTTATTTAGTGATTTTATGCCTGCTGTTTTAGAAGTGAACTCCTTTCATGTGATTGTTTCTTTGACACATTATTTGTTCTGTAACCAAACTGAGTGGCATCCTGTATTGTTTCTTTCAGCCGGTAATATTAAAATAGAAACTCAGAGTGATGAAGAGAATGGGCGTGCCTGTGAATTGAATGGGGAAGAATGTGCAGAGGATTTACGAATGCTTGATGCCGCAGGAGAGAAAATGAATGGCTCACACAATGGCTCAGGCAGCAAAGCTTTGTCAGGAGTTGGAGGCATTCGACTTCCTAATGGAAAGCTAAAATGTGATATCTGTGGGATAATTTGCATCGGTCCCAATGTGCTCATGGTTCACAAACGAAGCCACACTGGTAAGGCCTGCCATAGTTTTTCCTGTAGTTGACAAGAAATGGCCAAATATTAGTAACTAAGACTTATTTTCTGTATCATGCACGTGTTGCCTCTTGTAAGGTAATGTAGCATTGATGAGCCTTTGGAAATCAGTTATTTTGGTACATTCTTTTGGCCTTCACCAGAATTGAGACTTATTCATGGAAGTCCATCTATTGGGCTAGAAATTATGCTGTTTGTTTGGTTTGAAAGAAAAAAAAAATTAAAAATCAAATTTAAAAGAAAATTAAACAAGTCTTGTTTAATTTCTAAGAAATTTTTAAGAACTGCTGAGGAAAAACCCATTAGTAGCTAACTCTGAAATTAACCCAGTTGTAATGTTTCCAACAAAACAGCAAAGCTCATTATGGATCAGTGATTATAATAGTGATTGGAAAAATACATATTAAGAGAACTGTATTGACAGATTTAGTCAAAAAACACTTATATTTCATGTCCAGTGTTTCACGAAGTAAAAACAGGTATTGTCATGGGTCAAATGTGCACTGAACGGAACACTAAAAGAGACATGTAAATTTTTGTGTTCCATAGGGATGACTTTTCATTGTAAAGTGTTGTGAATATTCTTGCCTCAATTTTCTAATTCTGATTAGTCTCAAAGAGGGCCACAAATGAAGAGGCTGAAACAAATGAAAAAGTAAAGAGTGAGTCTCACCTTGCCTGATATGTCTAAAAGTTAGGCTTCCAATCTAAACTTAAATGTCATTCATGGATAAAAGAGAAGAACTAAACTGTACTGTTGTTTCACAGAAGTTGCTTTGAAAATAAATTGGGGATTTGGCATTTTTACATGAATATTCCAATGAGAGGCAATTTTAAAATATTTTTAAGGTAAGAATGTCTTACAGTTACATTAGGCTGAAATAGTCACAGATAAACACGTAGATACTTTCTTCCTTAAAGTCTTTCTTAAATAACTTTCCCAGAATTACTAAGTAATGAGATTAACAAAATGCTTTCAGAGTTAAATGGAGAGTATTCACGAAAAGCCCCTGAGTGTATTACATTGCCTTCAGTGTTACTGTCTGTCACAGTAACTGTGTCTGTTCAAGCTATGTAAGCCTTCGATCTACTAGTGTAACATAGATTAGCCATGCTCAGAAGCAATGCTGTTACATTGCCTGCTTCAAAGTACTCTTCAATTGTATGTAATAAATCCCTCTGTCAGGGAAGAGCAGATAATTATTGGAAAAGCCACAACTAGTACTCAGAAGAGATGCTGTAGCCTACCTCCTAGATATAACAAAGTGCTTGTTGATCCTTTCCTTTCCTTTTCCTTTCCTTCCTTTCCTTTCCTTTCCTTTCCTTTCCTTTCCTTTCCTTTCCTTTCCTTTCCTTTCCTTTCCTTTCCTTTCCTTTCCTTTCCTTTCCTTTCCTTTCCTTTCCTCTTCTCTCCTCGAGTCTCCTTCCTTCCCTCCCCTCCTTTTTCTTTCTTTTCTATAAAATTAAAATGTAAAATGACTTCTATGTGAGGCCTTTTAAACAGAGCCTCGGGCTGAAGAGGAGGCTGTAGTGGTTGAAACAATACGTTGCAACTTGCAATGTATTTAGAGGTAGAAGTCTTGGTGCTTGTTTAAGCAGACTGCTCTTTTGTTAAAAAGCCCCCACTGTTGCTGGATCAGAGGAGCTGTTTCAGGTTCCTAAGGGTCCATGGCAGTGTTTGCACCCAGGCTGAATGACCTGTGTATGTGAGGACATACCTGACTTTAGGGAGGGGGTGGGCACAGCTGCCTTTGTTTTTCCTACACTCCTTGGTACCCAGCCTGCTGTCTTTGAGGGTGAACTGGGCTGCCTGGTCCCTGTGACAATATCCCCAGGGGCCACCTCACTCAGTGCCGGGACATTTCCCTAGCACAGACCTTCAGCTCCCTGAACTTCTTGCCTGGCAGAGAGACCCATTTGCCTGCCAAGGGTGCTTTGGGTGCTACACACAAGGATTGTCATTTGAAGATTTCTCCACCCTTTGCAGAGCTCTTCCCTTCCCAACTAGACCCTCTCTTTAATAAGGGAATGTAGTTCAAGCCTACAGTGGAAGCACCTCACAAGGGGCACTTTGCTCAGGAGATCCCCTTCCTTTATACTTAATAAAGCTAAAAGGTGTGAAGTTTTATCCCTGGGTCCTTCCATGGAAAGAATGCCTTTGCTTTCCCACCTACCTCATCCTCAGCTCCAATCCTGAGCAGCCTCTTTGAATGAGCTCAGGTGGTTTTTCAGGGGCTGGCAAAGGAGTGGTAATTCAGAGCTGGTAGTTTAAAATAAGGGGATGTAATGGGGAAACAGTGGTGACTGCTTTTCCTTTCAGCTGTGCTGTGAAAATTAAAGTCAAAATGGGATATACTGTTACAGACATTTAACTTACTATGCCGAAGCCCATTTCAATACATGCCTGGTGAAGAAATAAGCCTCATAAATGAATTACTTTGCTGCTAATTCATGTAAAACCTGCATATGCAGTGAGGTTTTCTTAAATAAATATCTGATAAGTGAACAAAACTCTAGCACACTAAATGCCAAAATAAAATGACTGCCTGACCTGATAAAAGACATAATTGCTTTTAATGAATACACCTCTCAAGTGCTGATATGCAGAGCAGCACTGATATTTCTGCCCTCTCCTGTCTGCAGGCAGCTGTACAGCACTGACTGCTTCCTAGCACCTTGCCTGTTGCTTGTATCTTCAGAGCAAATCCCAACTCATAGATGCCCAACTCTTCTCACTTCCCTTTCAGTTCATTTTCTCCAGCTTGCCACTGACTTGTTTGGTGTTTAAGAAAAAGGAGATCTTGAAAGGAGAAAGAAACTCCTGCTCCCTGATGCTGAAACCTCAGGCTATATTCAGGCTTCTCTTGCTCACTCTGCATATATTTGCATATACATGGCTATCTGTGTATGTGTGTGCATAGGTGTATATAAGGCCTCCTTATATGTACACTAAGTTAAGTTACCAGTTAGTTCACTCACATCTTGTTACTTGGTTCTGAATGCCTCGGATTTACTTAGAGAGCTCTGCAGGTCTCTAAGCATTAGGTGATCTTATCATTGCTTAAGAAATTAGAAGTATTTTAATTAAGATTATAAGTATTCTTCACTGAATAAGTAATCCAGGGCCCAAGCTCCTACTAAGGCTTGCAAATCACTGCAATGGTGATAATTGCTGATTGAATTCAGGGTTCCATTGCAGTTTTTGTTCCTGGGCCTATATTTGGTCATGACTATGTGCCCAGGACAGGTACGTAGTATTCAGACCTGGAGATGATGAGACACTGTTTAGAAAAAGAGTAATTATATATTTTTTCTTTCCATCCAGTTCCATCCACATTTTTGGAGGTATCACCACACCCAGTAACCTTCCATCAGTGACTGTCAGTGTCCTGGCAGGTCTGGGAGTTCTGCTGGGCTCATAAAGGAGGCATTCCTCACCCCAGTAGTTGCAGCATGGTCAGCTAAGGGCCAGCCAAGCTACACATAGCTTCAGCGTCATAGTTTCCCTTCTACAGCAACATGAGTTCAGGCTTCCTTACATCTGATCCCAGTCTAAGTTCTGTGAAGTATTTGGTGTGCAGCAGTCTCATTTGAAATGCTCCTTCTGTCTTTTCCACCTAGTGAAAGGCTCCACCCTGTACTTGGGAGAGCTGTAGGCTAGAGATACAGTTCATTCTTACTTCGCTTTGCATTTCATTCCTGGAGTACTTTTATGGTTCTTGTTTTGTCTTCTTATGGTCCTCTGTGTCAAAATAACAGGAATGAATGCTAGAAAAGCTGCTTTGTAAGAATTAACTATTTCTCCTGAATGTGTCCCCCTTGCTGAGCTGACTTCTTCTACTTACTATTTCAGTCCATTTCTGTAAAAAACTTTCTGCACTAAGTAACTGCCCCAAAGATTAAGAAGTACAGAGACGCCTGTTTTCTTTTCTCCCTAATTATACCATGCATGGCTTAAGTACATTGCAAAGTCCTATCAGGCTTATCCTGGCATTTTTGCATGCCATCCCAGCTGAACCAGATGTGGGAATAGTTTAGATAAACAGAGATACTTGATGGACAAAGTGAGCTCATTTACCTTGATAGGCACTATGCTGCTCTGCTTAAAAGTGACCAATGAAAATGTCTTGCCATAAAGGGGATTAATTTTGCTGTTTGATGAATGCCAGCCCTGAAGGCAGAGTTTTCATATTTTTGGGTTGGGACAGTGCTGCTCTCTAATTGATCTTCAGCTGTTCTGCTGCATTACCCAGATGTCAAAAATTATTATGCTGCACGTATATGGACATATATGGACATAAAAGTTTATCCTAGGTGTGCAAAATGATACATGATATTTAAATGAGAGAGAAGAAATAATTTAATTTTTTTTATTTTAGTATTTTAACTTTAGCGCTGAAATCTTAAACACAGTGTTATTTCTACACACAAAAAAAATCAAAACTAAGAACAAGTCATTTTTGGGATGTCTCTATTGTTGATGCATTATAATTACTACAACAGGATGATGCCTAAGAGAAACAAAGTTCAGCAAATGTGTTTTAAAGACTAGTTTGACTTAGTTGAGAGCATGCAAAAGCAGTTCTTGCTGATAGAAAGCTCTTACGTGTAATTTTTCTTTTATTCCTATCTGGTACAACTGGAAATGTATTTTATTTCCCACTGATTTCAGAAAAGAACTCATGCATCTGAAATTAAAAAAAAAAACAAACCCAAAAACAAGAAAGAAAACAAAAAACCCCAAACTAATAAAATATCATATTGATTTTAAACAACACTAAAAAGCAAACAACAGCCATATTAATTGATAATTGCAAAGGCTTTGATCCACTTCTTGATAATAGGCACCAGTTTAGACAAATCAAGGCTGTGTCTCTTCAAGTTTTTCCACATCTGTCCAAACCATCAGAGACTGTTTGTGCAGCTCCTATGTTCATACCTTACCTAGAGAAGTGTTGAACTTAGGTATGGAAGTACAGAGCTTCCTTTGCACTGTCTTAACTTCTGTGATTTTACTCTCTACCTTTCTCTCTTTTCTCTGCTTCTTTCCTGATTTGGCTGCTTAGGGACAGACAGGTAATGGAGAAGAAATTGAAAGGGAAAATACAGGGAAAATGTAAATGAAAAGAAGTTATTATAACTGTTATAATGAAGTGCCTTTCATTTAAATATAAGAATGTAACGCTGAAATGAACTTGTGATCCTGAAATGCATTTTTAATGAGTTTCCTTTTTATTTTGCTGCTTCAGTGGCATATTTTAAAGACCCTTTGAAAAAAGCCACATTAAAACCCCACCAAATGCCACAACATGCAAAATTGGATATTGGTTTATTCCAAAACTGCTGATCAGGAAGAGTGGCTCTTCAACACAAAATGTTGCAGTCACTTTATTTAAATGAGTTTGAATTTGCATTGTGATGTGCCATTCTGATTTAGAAAAAAAAAATTAGATTTTCAGATCAAATTGACCCAGCCAGTGAAGCATTAAGAAACTGGCAGGTTTAGTCTGAAAGCCTCATGTTATATCAAACTTGCAGCCGGTGGAAGTCACAGAGCAGCAGTGAGAAAACAACTTTCTCCCTGAAATCTTTCTCTTGTTACCACATAAGATTTTTTTGTTCTCACATATTTTCTCCTTCTTCCCATAGGAGAACGCCCTTTCCAGTGCAATCAGTGTGGAGCTTCCTTTACGCAGAAGGGCAACCTTCTGCGCCACATAAAGCTGCACTCAGGTGAAAAGCCCTTCAAGTGTCACCTGTGTAACTATGCTTGCCGCCGCAGGGATGCCCTCACGGGACACCTGAGGACTCACTCAGGTAAGTGAAGATTTGGGAATAACCAGGGCTGCTTATCACCATACCCACTGAGGAGATGGGGGTGGCCACTGTCCTGAGAGCTCTTCTCACACTGAGGATCTGAATATCCCCATCTTGGGGTTAACCAAGCTGTGAGCTGGCCACAGCGTGTTATCAACAAAGAAATTACTAAACATATGTCACACTCACAGCCCTTCACCAGAAGAACTGGGATTTTTACCATACTTCTTGGCTGATTCAAAGTTTCTATATTAGAGATTCATCTTACAAGCCTCATGTGAATAATCCATTTCATAGAAGTACAAAAATGACTTAAGTTGATAAATGTTTTAAGGTTAGGGATAACATAAAGTTGAAACACAGTCTTGTATTCATCTTCAGCCTAAGGAATGAACACTGCTTACAGCATTTAGCAGGAGTTGTTTGTTGCACATTGTTATTACAACTACTTTGAAAGAGAGAGTGGGGAGAAGGTAGAGGGTGGGAGAAAGAAAGTTAATAATTCCACAAAAGAGGACTCTGGAGTTTTTCCATGTCTCTCTCAACAGTGATAGGGAGACATGAATAAATATTTTTGAATAGATGCACTTCCCCCATTACCATGAACCTCTCATTGACAGAAGCCACAGTCACATACCTTCTGTGAAGTAAAACCAATTTAGCACATTTAAAGTGCCTTTAAAAGCAGAGTGCCCTCTCATCTAGTTTCCCAAGCTGCAAATGCAAAATGTTATTTGGATGGGAGACCTCCAATACACATTTCTGGAATTGACACTGGTAATGTTACTGTGAAAGTTGAGTTTGGTTTCTGGGTAGCAGAAGGGGAGCTCTCAAAGTGATTTTTTTGTGCTCCAAAAAATTAGGGAAATTCTTCTCTAGCACACATATTGAATAATAAGATCCTTAGACTTGATCCCAGATTTCCAAAATAATTTCCATTTCTCCTTTTTTTTCCCAGCCTGATTGAGGAGGACACATATAGTATTTTTCCTCCCTGTCCCTTGTTATTATTGATTTTCATGAATGAACAATTTGAAACATAGCTTTTCATATATATATATATATAAAATCTCACCTAGATGCTCCTGGCAAACACTGATAATTCCGTAGTTAAAGAGACAATGCTTAAACTATAGATAATGATTATTTCCTGAAATTGGCAAATTGACACCAATATATTATAAAAGAAGTTGTATGTCTGAATCTGATTTTCACCTAAGAATCCATAAATAAAATTCAGAAATTAAACTGTGTAACTATGTAAAATTGTGAAATCACATATAAAATTACAGCCCTATTGTGTTAAGACAGAAAATTAAAGTCCAGAAGTACACAGAACAGTATTTTTGGTGAAAAATTCCTAGAACTAGCTAGATCTGGATTGGTGTAATACAGAAAATAAATTATCATGCCATTTATCTTGAATTTCCAGAAGCAGAAAACATCCAAAATCTAAGATCTTCTTAAAAGAGTTTATCTGTTGTTCTGGTTCTGTCTACACCAGAACTGACCTCCAAACAAGCAAGTCTCTACCTGCACCACCAATTCATCCACTGGCAGTCTCTGTGCGACTGGACACTAAAGAAACTCCTCCCAGACCTTTAAAGGTGTCTCAGTTTCTAACATGTGTAGATGCAGTTTTTAAAGATTTAATGTCACAGTCTTTATCTGATCTGAATCATCTAAAATCAGTTTGCAGCACCCATAGAATTAGCCCTTTGATGTAAAGATATGCAAACAATTTTCCATTAGTTGTTTTTCACTTAGATTTTTAAACTGATGAAATCTTCCTTCACCACAGCATGTATTTATTTTTGGGGTGGACTTTTTATCTCTTGTCCTTACCATTGCTAATATGCTGTTGAATGTCTCATCTGAATCTCATAATAAATTGTGTTTTCTCCAGTTGGCAAACCCCATAAGTGTGGATACTGTGGTCGCAGTTACAAACAGCGGAGCTCTTTGGAAGAACATAAAGAACGTTGTCATAACTACCTTCAAACCATGAATCTCTCAAGCAGCATCTATCCAGGTAATAAAAGCGTCCATTTGGGGAATACTGCTGTCCTGTTATAAATGCAGAGAAAGGAGGACAGAAGAATCGATAGTACCATTTGTGGCAACTTTTGCATTGGAGAGTCAGGCACATCCCCTGTATGTATGGTACTGTGTCTGGATTTACTCTTTATTTGATAAACATTTGACTGTTTTTTCACTTTGTTTAGCTCCAATAAAAAGCCAAAGCACAATTCAAACATGTAGCAAAACACTTGCAAGGCTTGGAAAACATCATTTTGTCATCTCAAGACAATATGGTTACATCACCTCACCACCTTCTCTTGGAGGCCTAAATTGCAATACACTTGTGGATGTATTTTTAATCAAGACCTAATTCCAGTGTTCTAGATAGGGCTGAATAATCTACACTGCACATCTCCTCCCCTTCCCTTTAAGCACGGCTTAAAGGGCTCACTTGACCACTGGGATCAACTCATCTAACAAGGATGAGCTATCAGGCTTTGATTTTATTCTGCCAAGCAAGAGGACATAAAGCCAGAGATACTTAATTTAGGCAGTTCGACTTGAGACAAATTAGCCAGAATGGCTAATAATTTGTTGACAACCTTCTTCCCAAGCTTCCTTTTGAAAGAAAATTGGGGGGAGGTAAGGACCTGTGTTGAGACTGGTGTAATAATGAAGGTAAAGCCCATTTCTGGGAGAATATCAAAAAACTATGCTCAGAAAGAGAGGAAGCAGATATTGGAGCTTGGATTATGTTTTTTAACAAAGATCCAGATGATCTGTAAGGACTGATCACAGTGATTAGCCATGCAAAGTCCTCTTGCATATGCAGTTTAAGATGGAGAAGATCCAGCTTCTCTGGTGGAGTTTAAACCCAGCCAGTAAGTTCCATTTCCTACATATCTTTTTAATCCTGTCATTTATATGTTACTTAGTTTGTCAAATGACAAAATGGAAAGTTCTCTCTGCCCTCTTTGCAATGATGCTTCATTTAATATTTTATATCTGTACAGAACCTGAATATGTTTTTACAAGCTATCAAATAATGTAAAGTATATGCACATAATGATAGCAGTGAATACAACTGAGATGCTTCTGCAGACAGCATGTTAGATCAGTATCCCTTCTAATTTTATTTAGGGGCTGCAGAATATATGAATAGAAAACCTCAATGTAATAATATACAGAAAGCAGCAATAATTATTTCTCAAAGAGGTAACAGGATTTAGAAGCAAATATTCTGGTTTGGGATTTCAGTCTTCAATGTCTGGCACATCAATTTAAGTGCCTGCACACTGAATTTGAAAATCTGTGTGAATGAGTGGCTGAACTACTATGAAACTCTTAATAAGATGAAACTGATGTCAGGAATCATAAACTTTAATGCGAAATTAAACAGTTTTAGAGACTGACCCTTGTTTATATCAAATTCTGACAAGAGAGCTTGTACTAGTTACAACTAAATATCTAATAACTCAGTGGGATAAAAACTTGAGGAATTAATTAATGCTTTGAAATAATAATTTCTTGTATATACGTTAAAATGTATGTATTTCTTCTTGTATATTCTTCTTGTATTCTTGTATATTCCATATTTGACATAATAGGACTGCTTTTGAAAATTAGAAAAAAAATTAAATTAACTAAAGAGTTTTAATCTCATATTCAGCCAAAGACTTCATGCTTAAAGAAATTTAGTCCTCAGTTAACAAGTCAATGCTATACTGTTCTAAAAAATGAAACTTTCTTGCATTTTTCCTAGTATTTTGCATGATGAAAATGTAGAAAAAACAGTTGAGAATGAGTGGATGTCCTGTGAATTTTACTGTATTCTATGTCTCTAGAAAAGCTAGTAATTATAATACTACTGTTCTTAAACTATTTCAAGGTGTGATGTGAATCTGTTAGAGCCATATTCTGACCCCTTTTTCCCCAGCCTCAAAAAAAGTTGGTACAAAAGTATCTGCTAGAGCATCTGATTTGACATTCTGCCACAGCAAGATTGCTTTTTACAGCATTTTTAAAATACTTCATGCAGTATACATAGAAAAATATCAGTAGGGAGAACCTAAACTTGTAGAAGCTTTCCCTCAGCTTCTAAATCTAACAAATGTAATTGAGGAAGACCTTAAATAAGAGAGAGTAAAAGGGAGTAAGAGGAACAAGAAATTTTAACTTGTGTTTTCTCTCTTTAAGAGAGGAAAATATAGCACAAAATTGGAACTTGACAAATTTAATGGCAAAATATTTATTTTAGAGGACTATAATCTCACTGTCCATGTCAAATTCTTCTCTTAGAGATATTAGCAGAGTTTTGCATTTGAGTTGACTGGAAGTGTGCTGAAGTCTTACCAGGCTTAAATAAAACAGCAGGAGAAGTAGTTTATGAAGTTTTGAAAGGTTCAATTACAGTTTTTCAGTCACTGGGAATTTTTGTTTGAAAAGATAAAATTATTTTTTTCAGTTCATAGACACCAAATTATAGAGAAATAGTTATTAATTTGGTAGAAAATTTCAGAGGGTTTCAGTTGCAAGTGCTGGGGATTAGTACATGATTCAATTTGCCCCCTTTTTAATAATAGTTTTAGAAGTTTGAAAGTTTGACTGTTGAATACATGACTTACCCTCTCTTGAACCAATTAGAAGAGGAACGCCACTATATCCTAATCAGATATTTCCTGATCATTGCAACTTTTAACTAAATGCTCAGTCTTTTGTGTCCCTGTTGAATGTTTGCTTTAAAACATTCTCTCTAAGTCTCTTCCTGAGGTGGTACCTGGAAGCCTTGGTCAGCATGAGATGCTGGTGTGTGCTTGTTCAATGGTGGCTATGTACCATAAACACCTTTTACTCTTCTGCACCTTCATGACTAAATTCTTCTCATTGCCTGCATTGGTCACAATCTTTAGTGTCTTATGGGACTGGAACAAAATTCCATGAAACTCCCTGTAACTGTCATTGGCACTGGCATTTTCATTGTCATTATCACTGTCACTGTAGTATGTGATGCTGCAGCAGGGACTCAGGAACCAGTTGTGTACTCAGTTTGGTTGCAGGGCATTGCTGAATAGGACACTTCACCTGCTCCTCACAGTTATCCACCAGAACTGATTTCATGTATGTCAGGGACAACAAAATTTTCACAATCATCCTTTTATGGCAGGGGTATATTGTTAGAATAACACTGGATTGCAATGATGTGCTCTCAGCTATTGAGAAACACCCAGGTACCAGAGTAATGGGCCCTGTGAACCAATAAATCCAGTGATAAAATAAATTCTCAGCAGGCACAGAAGGAAAAATGTAGCAGAAGGGATCACTTAATTGAAACAGCTCAAATAATCAAAGTATAAAAATCATCTTTTGCATCTTCAATAGCAACTGAAAAGTTCAGGAAAAATGTCCATATCTTATTAGCAGATAAAAGTAAACTCCTTTTTCTCCCTTGACAAACAAACAAAAAAGCCTCCAAACCCCACCAGCAAAACAGTTGTGCTGTGATCTCAGTGCATTCACCTTCCCATTAGATGCTAGAAGTCAGAAATACCTTTCCATACATTTTTCACAGTCATTGTTTGACAGTGCATTTTCATACATCCCTTTTGTTTCTGCAGGAAAGTACTGAAGTAAAATATACTGAAAGTGAGATAGCCTCCTTTTTCTAAAGCCTCACAGTTAAGCCTCTAATTCTACAGTCTCAGCAGCAGCGGGAGGTTGGGAAACGTGTTTGGTTATTGGAAAGCAGTGTTCCACTGAAGGTGTGATTTTATAAATTAAAATTGTTAAAGTCTAAAATACCATCAAGGAGGTATTGAAATATTTGCTATAGGATAAAAGGGGCTGGAGACAAGGATTGGTGTAGCTTCCACTGCTGGAGTTGAGAAGTTTATCCATTTTTCCTGCTGAGGAAGCAACTATCATACGGGGGTCTCACTGGGAGAGGCGTGGAAGGACATTGCGGGGGATTTCAGTGGTAGAGTGGAAAGATGAACTTCATTTGTGTCTGTGATAAAGTTAGGACCTAATTTATTCACAGAAATGCCGAGTCACTGTAGAACAAGGGTGGAGTGATTATGTGACATTCAGGCAGAAACCTTGCCTCTCACTTTTGTGTCCTAAATGAGGAAAACATGAGCATGTACATAGATTAATCAGCATGAGGGAATTTGTTACTGAGAGTCAGAATTGTCCTGTGTCTCATATGCTGAGCTCCTTTGTCCAGCTGCTTGGGAGCTAAAAGACATTGACTGACATACAATAACCTAAGACAACAGTTCCATTAAAATGGAACCTGCCTAACCGTTCTGATGTCATTTGATTTCAGTCATAAAAGACGAAAGTAACCAGTGTGAAATGGCTGAAGACCTGTGCAAGATAGGGTCAGAAAGAGCCCTCGTACTGGATAGACTAGCAAGTAACGTCGCCAAACGTAAGAGCTCTATGCCTCAGAAATTTGTTGGTAAGAGTTAAACATTCGCTGTCTCTTAAAAATAAAATAAAACAAAGCCCCCTAAAAGATCACAGCATTTTTACTTTTGCTTTATAATTTTACTTGTTTTGCTAAATTAACAATACGTATCTCTATAGAAGCAGATACAGAGATGTGTTGGGAAAAAAAAAAACAACCTAAGCATCTCCAGCATAAATTTCTGCATGTTTAATTTTTCACATCTGGAGATGAATTCTACGTCTTTTTCCTGCCTTTTTAAAAGCTTACGGGCCAGATAATTACAAATCTGAACAGATTCTTGAAGTTGCCCTAAGAACCTGAAGATAGGTATAGAAGTTTCCTGTTGGGATAGCATTGGACCACACCTTCAGAGTTATTTTATTCAATTCTTGAATGACATTCAGATCTGGGCATATTGGTGTTTCTGAAAGCATTTGTGAATAGTTGAGCATAGACTGGGTAATCTTCTTCCTGTTGGTAAAATCTGTTTATTTTTACAGCCTAAATTAATATGTTAATATGTTAATACTAACACTAATACGTCTGAAAACAGTACCTAAATGAAAGGACCTTTGTGTACATTCTATGAACGATGCAAAAACTTCATGCCCATTTGCACATGGCAGTTCTTGTCTTAATAATGACAAATTTGACATTAAGCCTATAAAAATGAAGGCTACATGTATTGTTCTGTTTAGTAGGCCTGTCTAAGTAGGGATTACATCAGTTTTGTGAGATCCACAGACAATATTTTGTCAGGTATGTAAGGTCATTCTTCAATAACTAAAAAGATGGGAGATCAGAGAATAGCATATACTCATATCTAGTTAGGTTTTTTTTTAATTCACTGTATATTTTTTAAAATACTATTCTCTAGGAGACAGATTAAATTTTCTGAAACAAAATGCATATTAAGAAGGTCTTCAGTCAAAAGTCAAGGCAAAAAAAAAAGAGAACAGTTTATGTGACAGAAAATGCAAATATACTTTCTTGAACAAGGAAAAAGTGAAAGAAAAATTAGTATTTCTTAGACAAGGGAAAGGGAGTTTCAGCTATGTCGGGAGGTGCAACAAAATGTTTTAAATTAAATTCCAAGGCTTTATTCAAGTCCTAAGACAAAAATCCTAAGACATCGTCAAGGATAAGAAATGCTTATGCTTATTAAAGAGCAGAAGTTGTGGTAGAGATAGATACCAAATATATATCAACTATAATATATATGTAAGGCAAAGACTTAGACACTCTAGTAACTGCATTAGGCAAGGTACCAATGCTGTGAAAGCTCCAGGAAGACCAGAAGTGCTAAAATTTAAAGGTACTATGCAATGTGTCCTTGAGTGTGGGCTGGCTGTTTAGTTCTCTTTTCCTCTGTTTACCCTGAGAAACTGTAAAGAAAGCCAGTTTAACTATGAGTTTTAGGAGGGCAGAGTTTCCTGTCAGTTTTTCAGGGTGAAGTGTAGGAAGACAACCTATTGACAGCAGATATTTGTGGAAATTTGCTGTCCTTCAAAAGGAAAATTTTCTAACAAGAAAATGCTCCCAAATCCTTTCCAAACCTCATCTGCTTCTTCATACAATAGAAAAATTCCTGATTAACACAAGGTTGGCTAGCTGGTGAGGAGAGCTTTTGGGTACATGTTTATTACTCCTGGAGATTATCATGTCATCCCAGTGCTGTGCTGAATTCCAGAGAGAAGGAGCAAATGTCACCCTTCACATAAGGGAAGGAGTGTTATCTGCTTTACTAGTTTTCTCAAGAATAAATTGAATTAATTTTAACCAAATTCACTAAAAATTAATTACCTTACAAAAATGAGATTGTTCAACAAATTCAGCCAGTTATACTGTAAAATTCTCTCTGTATTCCAAACTGGAATAGTTCCCAAACCCAAAAGAACTGGGCCATCCAGACCAGAGAGTGAGAACTTCATGAAAGGTTGACATATGGCTATAATGAAGAATAGGCAGCCAAAAGAGGGATTAAAAAATACTAAGAGAAAAGGTGCCCACATGCTCTGAGTGCATTTTTACTGTTTAAATACCTCATGCAGAACCCTGAGCAGTGCAAACCTTGAAGTGCGTCAAACCATTAGCAGTTTAATTTACTTATGCTCTAATAACCACAGAAATGAGCTATTATTTTTAATGAGTGCAAGTATTACTGCATTGCCCAGATATAGAAATAGTACCTGTCTACCCTACCTTTGTGTCTGTTTCAGACACTTTGCTTGGAAACAAATTTTTCTTACGAACACTTGATCCTCCCAGCACAACTACCAACTAGTTATGCTACATAAAGCAAATACTACCCAAGAAACAGATGTTAAAATCATGCTTTTTGGATGCCCAAAATTTTGTTTATAATGAAGATCAGTTAAATTTTTCAGTGGTGTGCAATGCCCATGGAATATGAATGATTTTGACTTAATTTTTCCTCCTTGAATAAAGTGTATACATTCACGTTAAGAGAGTTTTTCTGTATTTAATTCAAGAATCTTTTGCAATGCCTACTTTGAATCTTAGGCGACTCTGCCTGAAAAGTATAACATTATAAAGGATGAATCAGGAATAAAAAATAATCTAGCCCAAATTGGCAAAATGATTGGGAAAGAAAACAAGAGAAACTGGAAGCTTGTGTAGCATAGCAGCTATAGATACTTATGCAATGCTCAGGGTATTTCTTTCTCTGCTTTCAGAGCATGGAAATGGTATGAAGCCATATCTTGTGGGCAATGTAGACCACAGGACTTCCTACACTTTAGCCCCCATCATTGCAAAAGTGCCATGCTGAAAGGTCTCTTCACTGACTTTGAATGGTCAATCTCAGTAGAAACTGTGTGGAAAATTGTTGATAAAATAATGTGCAGATCTTCTGATAAAATTTCCATGCTTCTGTTAGCATTTCTTTTGACAAATTAGGACTTTCTAAGACATACCAGTAAATTTCATGTTGATCAGGAAATCGTGATAGCACTTCACACAGATGTTTGTGGCTTTTAGTGTTTCCCCAGATCTGAAGAGCTAGAAAATCCATCCAGACTATTAACAATATGTTATTGGTAGATCATAGGAGCCTGTGAAAATATTTTACCTCTTCACATTTGCATGAATTCATTAAGGGCCTGGTAATAACTTTGATGGTTTACACTGTTAGAGAAGACTGCTCATGTTCATAAAATCAGCATCTGTACATTTCCACTCCTAAGTTTTCCCTTCTATGTTTTCCTATCTGTTCAGTAACAGGGGGAGAAATTGTAGTGAAACTCAGCTTTCATTACTGGGTTATCCAGCTAAATACACATTAGTGTTGTCTGATTTAAAAAAAAAATAAAAAAAAAAAACCAAACAGACTTACCCCTTACTTTTGGCATCCCATCAGATCCCAAAGTTACCAGTAACAAGTAATCTTGCTCTAGATAGGGCTTTCTACCTTGAAAACTATGCTCCAACTACAAATGCACTTAAATTTTTTCCAGGATTCTTGGTTACTCCTGTACACAATAACTTTTTGACACAAAATATTTAGGAACATGGGTAGCTTCTGGTAATGTCTAACATGGCTTATGGTAGGTGTGTAGGGATGGTGGCAATACATAAAATAAATTTTTTGTTGATTCTTCTCCAAATGACATGTATGTGACCACACTGCTGATGTAGGTTATTCCTAAGAAACTGAAGGTCTGAAACTAAACCATACAATTTCCAGTCTAAGAATGGACTAATAGGTATTATGGACTTATCCTTATACCTTAGGTAAAAATATTGATAATATGCTTCATGCTCTGAAGCATCAGGCCAAGCTTGCTGTGGCTGCATGGGCACACCAGCTTCACCAGCCACAAAGGCAGTGCCTCTGCTCATTGTAGGAGGCAGATGAGAGACGTCAGTGAGAAAGGAGAAAGACATGACAAAGCACTAGATCTGTAGCTCCCATGAGTCCCTGCATAATTATTTCCAGTATTTCTTTCATGCATTTGCTTTTCCAAAGCCTTCAAATTATTTTGCATGCTAAAAAAGACCACCAACAGACCAGTTTTTTGAGCAGCTGTATTAGAGAACTGTGAATACCTTAGGTGGATCTTAGAGGTGGATTCAGTCAACTCTCTTCTTCCCTGTTTTATTGATCCATTATGTTAATTTCCTTAACCGTGTAGAAATCAGCCCTCTAACTCCTCACTGTTTTTCACTGCAGGTGACAAATGTTTGCCCGATCTTCCATACGATGCCAGCATCAACTACGAGAAGGAGAATGAGCTCATGCAGACGCACGTGATTGACCAGGCCATCAACAATGCCATCAGTTACCTGGGGGCAGAGTCCCTGCGTCCCCTTGTCCAGACACCACCAAGCGGCTCTGAGGTGGTGCCTGTCATCAGCCCCATGTATCAGCTCCACAAACCTCTCGGGGACAATCAGATTCGCTCCAACCTCCCTCAGGACAGCACGGTGGAAAACTTGTTGCTGCTTTCCAAAGCCAAGTCTGTCTCCTCTGAACGAGATGTCTCTCCCAGCAACAGCTGCCAAGACTCAACAGATACAGAAAGCAATAATGAGGAGCGCAGTGGATTGATCTACCTGACAAACCACATAGGTGCTCATGCAAGAAATGGCATCTCTATAAAAGAAGAAAACAGGCAATACGATGTCTTGAGAGCAGGTAGTGACAATTCCCAGGATGCCTTCAAAGTGATCAGCAGCAATGGGGAGCAAGTAAGGGTTTACAAGTGTGAACACTGTCGAGTCCTTTTCTTGGATCATGTGATGTATACAATCCATATGGGATGCCATGGGTTCCGTGATCCTTTTGAATGCAACATGTGTGGCTACCACAGCCAGGACAGGTATGAATTCTCTTCCCACATAACTCGAGGGGAGCACCGTTTCCACATGGGTTAAGACACTGGCCTCAACACACACACATTGAGCCTCAACAGCTGCATTACTGGAGCTGCATGAGCCATGACAGAAATAAAGCAAAAGTCAGCTGGACAGTAAAAATCACAAGAGAATCAGAAGTTCAGCAATGTTCTCCCACAAGAACAGGGATTTCATTTTGGTAGCATGCATTGCTACTCAGTTTTCTAAAATGAGTTTTTACTGAAAATGTTTGATCACCAAAAACCTTTAGTAATGTAATTAGGAGCTTTTGTAGTCACATTGCTGAAAGCCTTTCCCTGAACTGATGCTTCTTGCAAGCCCCCCTTGCCAGAACTCTTAACCACGCGCAGGATGCTCTACACAACGAGGACACAACAGGCAGCAGTGGCCAGGCTTTCTCTCTTAACACCCTGAGCATAGGGCTCTTCTACCAGGTGTGTGTTTTTTTGACTTCTGGTATTATTTGACTCGTTTGAGAAGATTGAACTCAACGAAAGATGGAGGGACCCATCTCAGATAACTTCATGGACAGCTGGGGTGGGATGGGAACACCCCCAGCCAGAAGGTTGTGAGTTGCTTTGGTGGTAAGAAGTAGAACATTTCCACCTGGAAGGGTGCTACTGGTATTTACATCACAACATGCCTTGTTTGTGTCACTAGGCAAACAAAAAAGAATGCAAAAGATAGAAGAAACACCTTTGTAATATACTCTGTGAAGTATGAATTGCATTTAATGTATAGAAAAAGAGTATTGTTGGCTCTTTTTGAGTAAATATTTTCTCTTCCTATACAATAAACCCCCAGTTTTTGTTAAGCAACTCCTCCTTTCTCTGCATATAAAAGTTACAATGTATTTAATTTTTCATTAAAGTTTTAGTTATTTAGGAAAGTATGATGTACAGTTGAGAAAGTAGATAGGTATATGTGTGGAGAGTCTTCTAAAGCACATTTTTCATCTTTTTAAATTTTCTGGGAAATATCCAAATGTCCCTCTCTTAGATATAAAAAAAAAAATCCCATTTTGCTTGCACAGAAGATGTCCTCTTGTAAATTTTGTGGCTCTATTCATAAGTGTTGCACTTGATTATTTTTAAAACACTGAGATTAATTAAACGAGCCAGTCAAAATTTTCAGCTGTCTTCTTTTCTCCTGGAATTTGCCATTTAATGAGGGACCAAGGTCCACAAGCTGTGGAGAGCCTTTGCTTCCTACCCAACCAGTCATTTAATGAAGTGCTTTGAGTTACTTTTCCTTCAGTAAAACTAATCTTCAGATAAAAAAAAAAAAAAAAAAGTTGGTTTTTGCAGAATGGAGACCAGAGGCTGCAGCACTTTGCAGAAAGCAGAAAAGTCCACCAAAATCTTTCTCCATGGTGGGTTCTGCTGTAGGTACTGTAGCTTCAGTTAGAATCAAAACTTCTATGGCAAATAGATTTTGACTCCAAACACATCTGATAAAAAACCTCTTTTTTAATGCTTCTACGCAGCTTCCTCTTCCAAATATTTAATTTCTGTCCCTGAACACCCTCATGCTTTAAGACTGGGTAAAAAAATTTTTTGCAGCTGCATAAAAATATGTCATTGGTGCTGCAGTATTTCCTGGGCAACATTCATAAAAATGACCCATCTTATTAACTGAATTTATAAGCACTTCCACTCTGCATAAGGAATGGACATTTTACAATAAACACAGTCAAATACCAAACAAGACTAGCATTCTTGTCATACATTCACACATTTTCCATTCACAAGTGCACACAAGCGCATGTATTTACTATAAAACAGATTCGATGGGACCATTAACTGCTTGTATCTCAGCCTGAGTGGCCTGATACTGCACTTGCAGCTATATTTGATAAATATTTCCTATATACACATACTGCTACAGGCATGCCGAGTTCCTTCTTCTGCTTTCACTTTTGCAGGTGTAGGTCAGGAGAAACAACACTGAAGCTGAGGAAGGACACTGATGAAAAAATGAATCACAAATGTGTGCTTGTACAACCTCAAGCCTTGGCTGTTCATGCCAGCTGTGAGGCACTTGCTTCACTGAACACGTGGGCATGGTGGTGTTTTTACACTGAACCTGCAAGAGAGCCTGACATTGCAGTGGCTTTGTCACCAGAGATGAATGCTGGGTAGGAATGCCCACAGACCCATGCATACATCCACAGCAGGGAAAGCACATTACTAGTACATGTTATGCCCCAAAAATGAGCAGCATGAACTACAGACCCAGAGGTGGTCAACTCTATTCCCACATTAGAGCTCAGTTACTTTAAAGGACTTTATTGATGCCCTCTACTCCCACATTATAACTATAATGAGACTTTATCACTTGTTACCTTCCAGCCCAAGATCCTGTATGAGGGGTGGGCACAAGGAATCCCTGGACACGTTCATGCCCCAGCCATGGTCTTGTCATCAATGCCTGCTACACATTCAGCTTCAAGACAGACTGTACTTGGCAACAAGGTGTTACAAAATATTTTGTATAGGAATGATCTGAAGAGGACTTTCCAGGGGGTAACTTACATGGATGAGTTTAATTTAATTTATACCTTTCTTTAAGTACAGTTGGAATGGGTTCATTTTTCATAGCTAGTAGATATACACTCAGCTGTTCTTACCCCTCTCCAATTTTGATTGATGCCAAATGAGAGGGGACAAAGTAATTTCTAAGCCCTGCTGCAATGTCCTGTGTGAGATCAGACATTGGCTGTACATAAATGTTCTGCTCTTACTGCTCTTAGACCTCCTTTCTGTTCTTCTTAGGTTTAGTAACTATATCCCCCATGTCATATTTTTTTCAACCCTTTATTTTAAGATTTCCCCAGCTATACAGGGTAGGGGGATGGCAGCTCACTCAGGTGGTTTTGTTTCTTTGTCTTTACCTAAAACCGATACAAATAAAGCCACATTCATGAACCATGTAAGCAAGCACAGCTCCAGTTGTGAGTTCAAGTGTACCTCAAACACAGCTTTGAAAGGAGATTACTGATTCCTGTGTAGGTTTGCTACCTTCACCACATCTCTGTGCACATGCACTCATGTCTGAGTCCCTGTGTCTTTCCTCTTGTTGACATGCACATGCCCTCTCTGCGGCTTTGTGTATCATTTTTTATGTACATTTGTATGTGTACATATATCTAAAATGGTTTGTATGACATGATGATGCACTGTCACTCACAGTGGGTTTGTTTCCTGGCTCTGGAGTTTTCCTATTTGTACTATAACAGAATATGTTGATGTTGTAGAATAAACAGTACAGTAGTATAAGTATATTAAGACACAGTGATTCAGGGCATAGTCTAAAGGCAGAGCGAATGGCATTTTCTGTTCACTAAAGGGATTTTTTAGGTTTTCTTTTTTCCTGTGTTTTTCTCTTTGGAACAAAATCGTCTTCAATTTGTTTAGAAACAAGTGGTTCATTAATTTTATTTATGAACATATGCAAGGATGGCATGAAAATAGGATGTTGTGTATGTGTACATTGAAACAAACTGTGCCCTCAGAAAAGTTTAGTGTAATTTTTTTCTCTTTTTTTGCTATGGTGCAATAACCTGATATGGCTTAGTTGACCTTTAAAAGGAGTAAATATGTGAGTGGTTTTAAGTTTATATCTGTTTTAAAAAAGTAAGAAATAATTGCTTTCCATTCTTTCCCCAGGCATTGCCTTTTCTAATAGAAGAAATTGTATTTACACCTTTTTTCTTTTTTTTTTCTTTTGCTGTTGTTTTATATTGTAACTTCATTTTCTTTGAGAATATTGTACTTAAAAAGAAAAAATTATTTCATAAAAATTGGAAATGTTATTAAATTATGTCTGCAAACTGAGATGTATCTTTTTGAGACGAGATTAAGATGAAAACCCTAAGCCCCAGAATATTTTTGTCACTCTCCTGGTGGGTGAAGGAGGCATTGGGCACAGCTGGAGGCTCTGTGTCTGTTGGTGTGACTGTGTGGGAGGGGACACAGAGTAAGGTAAGGTGCAGGTAGACAGAGCCCCATGGGAAGTCTATCCATGTTGTCCCTGCACCGTAGTGAGTCCATCCGTGCTGGCCTCACAATCCAATCTCTGCGGCCAAAAAAAGCCAAGCCCACCCGGCCCTCACCCAGCCAGCTCCAGTGAAGATCAGGTCCTGAACTGGCCACCTGCTATCCAGTGTCCCTGCCCATCCCAATCACCCAGGTCCTGCAAGCAGCTGACTTCGAGAAATGTTTGTCCTCCAGCCCTCTCCTCGAACCCTTCCCTCCCACCAGCCAGATGGAGTCATTACAGAACACAATTACTTCTGCATGTAGAGTCATGGTAATTCAAAGTAAAACACAGAGAAATTATTTCTACTATTTGCCATAACAAAGGTGATTTCTCTGCAGGCGTCCATTTCCTTCGGATTCCAGCACAGTAAATTTCACATCACATATTTAATGCAAACAAGAATCAGTGTTTTTCTCAGAAAAGGCACCATTTATAAAGTTTCAGAAATATTTCCATTTGTTAAACTGTATTATTATGAACAAAATGAGGTTTTTTAAAAAAAGAAAAACAACCCCAAAACAAACCCTAATGGTATTGCAATAATTCTTTTACAGGTTCCCAAAATCTAAATTTTCCTTAAGTTCCTTAAGTTTTTGTGGTATAGTTTCATCATAAACTATGACTACATAATATAAGAAGGAACTAACATCCTATTTTCTTTGTTCCCCATCATAGCTGGTTCTCAGTAAATGAAACAAACTATAGATTTCTGTTTCAGCTGGTGACTTTTCTCCAAAACAAATATTATCTGTTTAATAATAATAATAATAAACACAAAGATAGACCAAATGTAATATTCTTAATCAGTGTTATAAAATCCTTGAACCAGAGACATCCAAAGATTTAAATGCAATTTTGTGTACCTAAAAATCTGTTCTGGGTTTCTTATCTATTACGTTTCAAAGACTTCCTTCAAGTCAAAACATTTATTTTTCTTCCTACTCCAACATCTTGATTAAGTCACATCAGAAGCTGTGGTAGGTGCCAAGATACAAACTGTTACACAGACAAAACCTACAGCTACCAGGGGTATTTTCAGCCTCAAGAGCCCATCCCGGCTTCCCAATCCATACACATCAAAACACCAAAACAGCATTAAACCATGCTCAACAAACAGTGTTTTTGAAATCAAGAAATACATTAAAAGACAAATATTTTAGAGATACCAAAATGAGAACTCAGAGACAGACCTGGAGCACGCGGATCCTATAATGTAACAATTTCCTGGTTTTTTAATTGTGCGTGTGTGTGTGTGTGTGTGTGTGTGTGTGTGTGCGTGTGTGAGAGAGAGAGTCACTCAAAGTCTTACTTGGGGAAAAAGGAGTTGGAAATGCTCCTGACTTTTCCAATACACTGAAAATATTGCACTGCTTTTATCAGCTTGTGAGATGGTCAAAAATAAAGGAAAAGCTTTCACTGAAAGCTCCATGTTACAGCAGCAACACCGACAATTTGAAAACTGAAAATGTGGCAACTGGAAAATTGAAATACTTGATTTCTGAACAAACTGCTAATTCCTGTCTTGTGGGTCAGATCTCCAGGGCATCCTTCCCTGCTATAGGCCAGCCAGAATGTGTCCACCAGCACAAAGCACAGGAAGCTTCTTGTCTGGAAGAAAAATTGTACATGAGAAAAAATTTTGGTCAAAATGCCTCATGAAAGACAAAAATTCCTCAGACCTGGCCTGTGGAAGGCAACAGAAGTCTTAATCTTAACAGGACATCCATTATCCCAGTTTCTAAATTTTGATGCTTCTTTATTTTGGCCACACAGACTTTGACTTTTCAGGGCTACTGAAGTCAGTGGCAGCAGCAGACATTCAGCATTTCTGAAATCCTGCTACAATGGCCAGTAGATGGGCATGCAGAAAACAGGAAGGACAAAAATTTGTAAAGTTTCACTGAAAATGGGATAGATGGAAGTGAGAAATCCAAATCCAGGCTTCAGACAGCAGGAGTTAATCACATTTAAACAAAAAAAGGCTGCACAAGCATGACTGAAACCTTGCTCTTGCCAAATGAACAGATCCCTGTTAACTGTAGTGAGATTTCTGCTGCATTTATTATTAATTTTTTTTTTTCTTTTCACAGAGAGAAAGGTCTTGCTGCTTTAAAGCCATCCCAGGACATGGAACAATTCCTGGTTTTATCTGTCCTGACCACATGTATGAAACATGCGAATGATAGAGGGTAGCTGCTGCTGTTCCTGCCACTGCTGGCAGCTGCAAATCACACAAACCAACGCCTTCCTGTCCCTTGGGAGAGAAGTGAAGGTTCTGGTTTATGAGCAGTTAGAGAAGAAAAAAAAGCAAAAAAAAAGTAGAAAAAAAATCAACACCTTGCAGCAGACAGTGAGCCAGGGGCTGGTGGGGGTGAGGAAGTTAATCAGCCCCAAGCAGGCTGTTCGGGATGAGGCCAAACAGATGGCTCGTCTCCGAAACGGCAAAACGGGAAGCAGATGTGGCCACTGCTTCTCCCCATGCATAACTGGGAACCAGCCAGTTGGTGAGGAACTTTGCATAACAAGGATAATTTGGTATCAAAACTGTCCCTAGAAGTGATCTGAATGGATCTGGCACAGTTGACAGTTTTCACTTCTTGTTTCCCACTCAAGGTTCAACCAGATTAAATCTTAAATGTGACCTGACTGCTTGCCTGGGGCTGCTCTCAGCTCTCTTCTAGGGAAATCTCTGGTGGGAGTCTTCAGGTCTCCACTGAAGCTTTCAGGGCTAAAACCCTGTTCAGTCAGCTGACATTTTAGTGACCAATTTCAGCATGCTCTGATTTTTCAACATGAAGTCCATAAACTTTCCATCAAGCAGCAGAACTGACCTTGAGCTCACCTCTTCTATTTGCATGTACCAAAACTCAAGCAGGAATGCCATGAGCCTGAGCTAACATCCCCAGTACTGTCTTTACCAGTAGGAACAGAACCAGGGGCCCCAGAGGAGCCTGGCATCCCTTTCTGGGGAGAGGTCATCTGCCTGGGGGAGCAGGGATAGGAGCTTCTGGCTGAAAAGCTTCACCGACATGTCAGAGCCTTTGCACCTGCCAGCCCTACATGCACTTTACCAAAATAACTGGGAAAATAACCTGAGTATTGAGAGGACAGTTTAAAACATAAATGGGTTGCGTACAAGTAAAAGAGGGGTTTTTCTTTTTCTCTTGCTTCCTATTTTGTTTCAAAGGAGATAGTAATGTCAATTTGACTACAGCTTTTTTATAATGTCCCTGTTCCATTGACAAGTATTAAAGAAACTACAGCCTTAACATGTCATATAAATCAGAAGAGAGATTATAAATCAGAACAGAGCTCTTAACATTAAGGGTTGTTCAAAGCTGGATTCAAACTTTCACTGATAGTTGCAGTGTACAAAAATATACCTTTATCACCTTACAGAGATTCCTCAGTGTAGCCATGGGAGAGAATATAGACTTATTCTCCATTGTGTTGAAGAAAAAGAAGAGGTTATAAGTACTTGCCAAAAACATATTCATGTGCAGTAACCAAAGCCCTGTTACATGAATTTCACTTTTTTTAGCACAGCACGTAACTGATTTACCTCCCCAAGTCCATCTCTGAAACATTCACAAACTCTTTATTTTGGTTTGCATCCAGTCACTAAGTTCCTGGCTAATAATATAGTGTTTTATTTGCATAGTCTAGCAAATGCACATGGGAATTGTGCTGAGCACTCACATGTACGTAGGGGATTTTTAGACTCATTAAGTCTAAGTACAAATTAGAATGGTTACTTCTGCTTTGGAAACATCTGTCTCATCACCTCTCTGTAATCGAGGCTGAGACACCAACCAGTCTTATAAGGTAATTATGTTATGATATTATGATAGTACCTGACAAGAGAATTTCTTCTGCAGGAACCAGGGTAAAGCTGAGTAAGTGAGAATACTCAGGCTCCTGAGGAACATCCAGCACCAACAGACCCTGCAGCTGTTTCTTCCTGAGTCACAACTCCATCATGTTTAACTGACCCTTAAACAAAGGTGGGATCCTGATCAGCAGAAAGAGCAGAGGAAGAAAAGTTCAAGTGGTTTTAGGAAAAGAATTAAATGCATGTGTTAATAGAACAAGTCATCTAAAATTAAGCATTTTCAACAGAATTCCAAGGTCCAGGCCAGGAGAAGGAGACTACAGGCATCTGCCTGAGTTTCATTAACTACTTCGTGATAGCTTAACCATTGGTCATTAAAGTTAGGAGCAAATGTACCAGAAGTGATAGGTAGGCTAGAAGGAAATGAAGAGTGGTAGAAGATTGGGTGGAAAAATTAACATATCAAGTTAATCAGTGAAGAAATTACTCTCTACCATAAGGGTTATTACCACAGAATTAAGAAAAGCCAAACCCAGTGCATTTCAGGGGGAAAAGAAATTCCACTTTTCTTAATGGCTGCATGCCTATTATAGTGCCTGCAATACTATGGGAGAGTTGTCCTCTACTCCTGATTATCCTTAAACCTGAAATCAATTTCTGAACTAAAAACTATTATTCTACTTGGATCTTAGTGACAACTCCCTACCCCCCACCCCTGGCAAATCCAGGCAGCCAACAGGTGTTCCCAATATACATTCACACTTCCTTTTTGTCTTCAATACCTGACAAAACAGAGTGTGTGTATATATATATATATATTTAAAATTGTGTGGTGTAAGTCTTTTTCAACAATTCCTTTCATGCAGTCATTAATTAAGAAAAAAAATAAAAATATTTTCTTACTATCCCATTCTCCAGAGATACAGAGTTCTGGAGAATACCCATTCTTGTTTCCAATATAGC